TAATAAATCTTATGCTAATTTTTTCAAGCATGCCTTATATGTGTAATAAATATTTGGCAAGCAAAAAGATCATCATTCAGCTGGGCAAGAATCCTCTATTCTCCTTCATCGATCGAACACATGAAATTAAAACATGCCCAGTTACATAAATAGCACATAAATTCAAATTATTTAGTAGCCTAATTCAACCATATTTATTCCATTTTCATACACTATAATATTACATAACACTGTTTTTTCATTCCATCTTCCACAATTAGTTCCAGTTGACGCAAATCATCACACGTCGAGCTCAGACACCCTACATCAATTAAGCCACACATTAGCATAATCCCAACGTAAAAGAAAAGAAAAAAAATCGACACACGATTTGTATTTGCTAGCTTACTTGGAACAATCGAAGTTTTTGTCGATTGGAGGCAGGTTGAAGTCGACACCGCACGGCTTGGGAATAAGAGGGAGCCTTTTCGGGTCGTAATCGACCATGGAAAGCGCTTGTTTCCCACAATTACAAGCGGCCACACGATCTTCTTTTGTTTTCACAATTGCTTTCAAGGCCTTAATCCCACCACAACACTGTGCAGTCGGCTGGTCGATTTTGCCTTGCAGGAAACTCAGACAAGGCGCTAAGTCGTTCAGTACTTGTGTGCATGAAGGCACCGAAAGCGCAGCTTTCATGAGGAGTGAGGCAAGAAGTAGCCCGTAAAGGAGACGATTCATCGTTTTTAGTTTCGAGCTTACAAAAGTTATGTTTATTTATTTTGGATGAAAATTGGTGTGGTGAAGGTTGAGTATATATAGAGTGGGTAGAGCCTGGTTTGTTAAGGATTTCTAGTGATTGATTCTTGCACGGGTAGGAGTGTGACAATTGCATGTTCTGCTTGCCATTTTTTGATCATGCAATATATGTGAGAAAGGGACAGTATTTGTTTGGGTTTCTCAATCTGATCATACAAATTTAAGATAATTTTGCTTGTGAATTATTAAGGGTGTGTCTGTTTATAAAAATAATTTTAGATAATTTTGCTTGTGAATTATTAAGGGTGTGTCTGTTTATAAAAATACTCAATCCGTACATAATTTATACTCAAAATTTAACTAAATTCTATAATTCTCAATATTATCAATATAATTAAATAATATCAATCAATTATTCTTACACACCACATCAATTAATTTACTATTCATTCACTCGCATAATTCTTTTCTATAATTTTCTAGCAAAACAATCCCGATTACATGTTCTGATTATTTACAACCATTCCTTTTCACGATGGTTACAAATCCCAAGCCATTTGGTCATCAGACATTTGGAAACAAGCGAATTCGAAGGCTTTTTTTTTTTTTTTTTATCATAGTCAATTTTGAACAGAGTTAGATTTTTCACATTACACTGTGTATGCAGAACTATTTCCAAGATTAAACACACTTGTCAATTGGTTCGTTTATTGTACAGTGAACCAGTGGAGCTGGAGCCCGAGCCCGAGCCTGTTCCAGTGCCTGACACCTCAGAATGGGGGGAAACAGCAGCGGTAAGGGGCTGAAAGTTGGTGTTGCCCACAAACCAATAAAGCGCCCATTTCAAATTGCAAAGAGTGTACTTGAGAGCTTTAGTCCAATTCTCCTGCTTGTTAAAGCTCTGTGTAATCGAGTAACTTTCCACTTTGTCGTTCTCAATTCTGCAGATACAATATTATTTAGTCACAATTAGATTGGTTAAATTATAATCCTGCTATTCTCAAAAATTATAAACATCCCTTTCATATTTATATCTATTTTTACAAACATACCTTTATTATTTTTTCAAATTAAGTTCATCTCAGGGTACCTTCACAAATTAACCGATTCTCAAAATCTGAAGGTGTTCTTTAGGTCATTTATAAATTTGGGAATGTAAGTAACAAATACACCAGTGAAGAACTTACTTATATGGAAGCTTAAAGCATTTTTCGGGAGGGATGTTGTTTTCTTTATCCTTCAAGTTTGCAAACTCTGCAAACTCCTTTAGGCAGGTAAGGAACAATGTCATTGCCTTGTCGTAACGTGTACTCCAGAACACATTCACTGGACCAAAGCTGTGTTACATAGAACATCGGTTATGCTGGCTACATTATCCAACTATGGGGATAACAGTGTAATTGCTTCAATATATGGATTGAGATATACTCTACTGACCTTGAAGGAAATTTAAACAATTTATTTAATAATATTTTGAGAACATGGAGTTTGTGCGGTATCATAAAGTTCACAAAGTATCTTGGAATTGGACTCTACAATTGATATCTCATCGAAACAAAAAGTGGAATCAGAATAACATTTATGTTAAAACTCAAAAGAACTGTTTTATACTTACAGCTCATAAGTATTGTTACTGCTGTCCATTATCCGAGGGTAACTTCCCATGGGGAGAATTTTGATGCGATATCTAGTACAGATGAATTAAGGAAGCGTGGAAAAGGGATAAAGTCATTGGTAAGGTCAGGTTAATTTCAGTTCAGAAAGTTCAAATATTATACTAAAAGAAAGAAAATACAAAGTGGCATACGAACTCAAACTAAGCCCATTAGTGCAATCGGGCCACCAAACCGCTGCTAGTAAAACTGTATCACACGACTAGTAGAAATTGTACGTAAAACATCCAACTGTAAGAATAGGATACGGGAATTTTGGCCGGAAGTATTGGGCCATAGTATGAAGGAGAAGGCAAGCTTGGCCCCACGCAGCATTTATCTCATCCCACTCAACCTTAAGAAATTCAGTACAAAAGTTTAATTGAAAAGTGGTTCTTCAAATTTTAAAATGCCACAGCGCAAATCACCCATAAGCAAATTACATACTTGAACTTTAGGAAGTCTTCCCAGGCGGAAATTGTTAATAGTTCCAAAGTCCCCATCATACCAAATAGGGAAGGCGTCATTTAGCACATTAGTACGCTTCAGCAGCTCTAAATGAGCCTGGGAGACTTCAATCTTGGCCAAAACTGCATCCCGCTCTTCCTGTTCACCAAATAATTTTTGACAAAATAAAAAAGCTATTGCTATAATAACAGTTTAGCTAGCACGACTGATGTCGCCTGTCAGGCGGAACATGATGGATGAATGAAGGACAAATGAAACGAACCTTATGTGAAATCAGTTGAAACTGGAAATTGTTAAACTCCAGCCAATATCTGAGCAAGAGAAGACTCATAATTAGAATAATTCACAAGAACCAACTCAAATACACAGTTTTTTCATGGGAATTACCGCTCTTCTAACTCTTTAAACCGGCTAGACTTCAACTCCAGTTCCTTCAGTTCAGCTGTTACCTCTGAGCATTGTTTCTCAGTTTCTGCAATTGCTGCTTCAAGTTTTCGTTCTTCTTCTTCTATCTTCCATTACAACAAAGTATCAGGACACAATTGCTTGTAACAGCAAAATCTCAGGAGGAATTTTGCGGAAGTGATTTTATTGTTTCAGCTTTAATTTGATTAAAAAGTTTTAAGTTCCTAACAAATGCATCATATAATAGTATGTTTTCTGCCTTTCCCGGCATCTGGTCTTCATCATGGGAATCATCCACAGAAAATTACTTCATAACAGACTTATCAAAGTGTTCACACGTATTTTTTTTTTTTTAAATTAAAAATGTATTTATTAAATAAATATCACAAAAAGATTGGGCAACAAGACCTTCAATTTCTCCTTAAAAAATTCGGCCTCACTAAGAACAGTCTTTGCTTCCCCCTCCAAACGTTGAAGACAAGCTTCATACGCTTTGATGTCCCTGTCCACATCTTCCACCTCCTTATCAAGTTTATCAGACAAAACCCGCATGCACTCAAGACATAAAGGCTGCTCAACCTGCCAGAAGATCAAAAATAATTAAACAGAAATAAAAATTTGACAATGAAAACAGCATGCTTCTAACACGGATGACGCGCATGAAAGAAAATTTTCATTTTCCCAATAAACAAAGACATTATACATCAGGAAACACCTGAGTCTGTGTTGTGGCTATCTCAAACGCCCGATTCAGGATTGTAATGGTGGAGTGGAAGCCCGAATTATGAGGTTGAGTAGGAGAATCAATAGGCCCACCATCAGGCGAAGGAAAACTCGTCCCGCCTCCATCAGCTCCAGGTTCACATTTATACACTGAAGCAGCCGGTGGAGGTAACACAACAAACGACTCGTCTATTGCTTTCCCAGACTGGCTAACCTCGGGGTGCAAAGGCGCACCTCGAGGTCGAGGAGGAACTCCGGGCGACTGATTCCTTTGCTTTGGCAATACTACAAAAGAGTGGTCCATCCGAGTTGAGCCTACAACACTACCACTTCCAAGGATTGAGGAACCTTGCATTCCTGTACATTCATGCGGAAAATCACACTTACAATGAGCACCTCATGGTTTATGGACCAAGTAAAACTTACTACATCAAGGAGCTGGAGTCTCAACAATCTCTTGTTCTTGTCTTTTAAGTAAAGGGCAAACTTTTTATGTTTGGATTAATAAAACATATTTAGTTCTGTTAGAAAATGATTCAAAACATAAGGTATTTTCCCCACCTGACAATGAATTTACAATAAGACAAGCACAACATGATCCTCACAATTAAGCTAGTGGAAACAGGCTGAAAAGGTTCATGAGGTCAAGCATAAAAGGACAGGGAAACAGGAAAGGAGAAAAGTAACAACAGATATAATACAAATTAATGCATCAATCAATCAACAATAAAAACATGCCAAGGAAACAAAGCTGGGAATGGAGTCATCTCAATAATGGAAGAGAGAAAAAGTTCCCAAATCAATCGAACTCGACGGAGATATCATTTCTCAAGGAAAACACATTAGCAAAGCATAATTGAACATAAGAGTGATTTGAGTACAGAATTCCTTAGCTCAATTCAAGTAAAGACTAAAAGGGGGAAAATAATAGAATAATAGTTAGATGATTTCATAAGCAGAAAAGTCTGACCTGGAGCTAGGAACTTGTCGACGTGCGAGTCGACGCCGACCATGCAGAGGCTGTGGCGGCAGTTCTGGCAAAGGAACCGCGGAAGATTCGGGTCAGCAGGAAGGGTCCGACCCTTATCCGAAATATTGGCTCCGCTACCATTTTTCTTCATCTCAGACTAAATATCCTTCAAATTAAGTGACTGAATTGCAGAATTAACAGCCTCCACTGTACTATCAATCCTCGCAAACTGACCAGCGTGATTTACTTGGCAATTGTTCTAGCAAAAATACAGAAATAGAGAAATTCTACGTGAAATACTGAAAATTACGGAGACTTCCTAACTTTAACTATTTTAATCCACTTTTTATAATAATATTAAAATGCTAAAAAATTGAACTAAATTAGTATATCGGATGTTTCAATTTAATAAAAAGTTATTTGTACAGATTGACCACTTTAAATAATTCACTGATAGAAGACAATAAAATATTAAACTGAATATTATCATGTTAAAGATAATCATCTCATCATGAAAGCAGTGTTATTAATGGCGGATGGCGGTACATGGCGTTTTGCCAAAATTCCGCCATTGCGGCCGCCATGGCGGCCGCCGTGGCGGTCTATGGCGCCGCCATGAACGCCATCATTCACTATTTTGCATAGCGGATTGTTAAAAATCCGCCACGCCATACCGCCATGGCGCCGCCATGGCCGCCATTTGATAACACTGCATGAAAGAGACCATGAGTAGGGATGGAAATGGGGCAGGTCTGGTCAGGCGACCCGCCCCCCCTTTTTTTCATCCATAAACCAAGTGTACCACACAACAACACATAACAAACTAAACAACAAAACAGGTCACTTAAAATCCAACAAAAGCATACATTCTCCCATAATTCACACAAGCCCACATTAAATAGAAGTACAGCACAGTTTTAGTAGCTTGGTACATCACAAGTAGGTTTAATTAAGAGCAAAGAGTTGGTCCTATTGGCACTATCAGAACCTGTAGGCTTTCATAAACCGGTTGAGCCTCCGTGAGCTTTCTCGCACCATAAGGACCCCTTCAGATTGCTTCTTGTACCTGCAAACAGTGTTTGGATCATCAAGATTTGACTCTTACTAAGGATATAATTGTTAGATACAAATTTCGGCAAGAGACTTGGGTTTGATTATCTATATCTTCCACAACGAAATTAGTCTTTATCCTAGTTTCATGTCATTATCTCATTAATCATCTACCACCCGTTTCAGATGACATTAAAGACCAGACATTTTCTCCATCTTTGAAATCTACTATATCTCAAATCAACCCAGAAGTTCACTTATCTTCCTTCTAACTCAATGGCTTAAATATCACCATTGGCCATTCAGGTCGAAATAGGATGAGAGAATAGACTGTATAAGCATTCCAAACTTATTGTACAAAGAGAAGGTAAACCAAGGACAAACCAGAGTTTTTCGAAGCGGTGAGGCGTCGAGGCGGCTGGACGTCGAGGTAGCGGGGCGTCGGAGGCGTGTCTGGGAGACAGGGCGTCGAGGCGAGGCGCGAACCGCGAAGCCTTTGAACCGAGGCGTCGAGCCCTTGCGTCGGAGGAGAGGCGAGAGTAGAGACGGTGTCTGTCGGACGGTGGCTGGTCGGCTTGGCCGGTAATCGGTTGGGTGAATTTGAGAAGAGGGGCGAGGTGAATCGCGATTTCACGATAGAGGAGGGGGAATGGCAAAAATGAAAACCCAAATTACCTAGGCATGAGTAATAGATTTTTATTAATTTATAAATTAAAATTTTTATTAAATAATATTTATAAATTAAAAATGTAGAATTGATATGTAATACAATTTACTTATATTAATTTATTGCAAATATTATATAAAATTTAAATTATGCAAATTAAATTACATAAAAATGTCTGTTTAAATTAGTATACAACTTATGCGGTGCACATAACTGATACTAAATTACATTATATTCTTTTCAAAATAAGTTTCATTTCAAAAAATTTATTCAAAAATTCGATTTGACTATAATGACATTCCATAAAATAATTATTTTTGTGAAATTTATCATATATTTAAAAGCTTATGTGAATAATAAGTATAAATATAAAACTAATATTGTATCATTAATTAAATGAATTTAATTTTTATATAAACTATCCAAATCACATAATTTAAGTAGTTGAGTAATATATTAAATTATAAATAATTGACTATATATTGACCCATAAGTCATGAATAATATTTATTTTATTTTTAATTTTAAATATATTTTTTTTTTTGTCAATATATTATATACCAAACTTAAACATTGCAACTAATAAAGGTAATTATTTCAAGTTTTGTTAATATATTAAAAACCAAATTTAAACTATGCAACTAATAAATGTAATAGCCGCAATATTTGATCAAAATGATTCTGTAGATTAATTACATTGATTTTTTTAATTTGAATCTAAAATGATTGGCTGCCACTTTTCAAAAATGTTTAAAAAAGTTGCTAATAAAGTAAAATTAAAATACTTTGGCGGGATTTTAACTAATATTTCAGGTAAATACAAACATTTGTATAGATATGTGTGTATGTTAAAATTTAAGTGTTTTTATACATGTTTTTCTTCCAAAACTGTTTAGAAAAAATTTACTTGACTTCACACATTTCAAGATAATATATAACTAGTACAATACACGGGTGCTTGTGAAAGAATTTATACTTAAATTTAAAAAGTAATAAAAAGCCTATTTTAAATTTCAAGTGCTTTTTACAAAAATATATTATTATTATTATTTATATTTAAAATGACATCATCACATAGACACATATACGAGTTACTCTTCTTATACTATAATATTTATTTTAACTTATATCATATAACTAATTTGTAGTAAATTTTATTTTATTGATAAGTAAATTTAGTTTTTCAATTAAAATTAATAGATAATTTAATTTATATTTGTAAATATAAATATAATTACTTATTTATTTTATCATGCAATAGAGATGTCAAATCGAAACTAATGAAGATATGATTAATTTGATATAATATATATAAAAAATAATAATAATATAAAAGTTAACTTTTTTAGAATATATTTACAATCTAACTAAGTAAAGTGTATTATAATTTTAAAAAAAAAAATGAGAGAAAAAGAATGACCAAGGAAAACAATTTTCATGTTTTATAAACAATCAAGAATAAGAAATTATATTAAAACACAATTAATGTTCATAAAAATAATAATATATATCCAATATATTTATGGTATGCTTCTAAGCCTAACTATTTATGGATTGGAAATAAATTAAAAGTTGTTCAAGTATAATGACGAAACATACAATTTTACCACATAGAAACCGAAGCGTGACCACTTATTATTAAGAGTGAGGTAATAAATATTATCACACAATTACATGAATACGTTATCTTTTGTTATTCAAGTATAGACACCCCACAGTATTCAGGAACAAGTGAAAAAAAAAAAGAAAAAAAAAAAATTCTAAATAAGGGACACGTGGCACCATTGGGCCCTGGTGGCAGGTGTCGGCTCTCGCCTACAACAACCATCTCGTATGACTCTATAGTGGACCCGTCCAGTGCCAGACCCTGGTGCTGCTGCCTGCTGTGGCATTTGCATGGCGGCCATATGCCGAGCAGCCATGCTTCCGAGTTCTGACGATCCCCATTGAACATGCCACGCTCGGTATGACTATGGATAGTGCGATTATTTCGATTCAAACCCCGTGAGTTGCCGCCTGTGTGGAGTTCAAAAACTTGTGAAACTAAATCAATCTATTTTTAAGTGTCATCTTTTAAATATGTCAAGTTTTCTTTTTATATAGCATTGCACAGAGACGGCCCTTTCTAAACTAAACTAGTTATGTCGCCTGTTTAGTTGCGAAATACAAGTGAACTATGTCAAACCCGGGTAAAAAACTCGTAAAAAAAAAAAAAAAAAAAAATGCAATGAAAAACTTTACCTGTTCGAGGATCAGGAAACACAAAATCCTATCACTCGTGCTGTTCTCAAACCCACAAAACACCTCCTTTCGCTTCGCATCCTCTGCAATTAGGGACATTCCAACTCAACAGAATATCTTCATTAAGGTCCCCATTGTGTGGCCACGAAATGGGGACAGACAAATTAGCAATAAAACTGCATGCATTCAATGCCGAGCAGCATTTGTGGCTAAAGCTGCAACTACTGACACATTCGAATTACTAAGGCAGTCAATGGTGGTAAAAGAAGTTGGTGCAGTCCACTCAGGTGGACAGCTAAGGAAAGTGTAGTCTTTCGAGTACCCAGCTGTAAAAGGAGTCCTCGAGAGGTTGAAGCTCAAGAAGCGTTTCGGAAGGCAGTTGTCTGGGTCATAGAGTTGGATTTCTTGAGAAAGATATTTTATATGGCGAATGAGAAAATCGCCTGAGTTTTGGAGGTTCAATACGGCCATCGAGTTTTTGTTGCCAGTGCATGTCAAGTCAAAGACTGGGTAGCCGCAGCTTTGAGGTTGTGGGCCTCGTAACCGAAAAGGGAACCATACTAAGAAGGGGTTGTGCCCACAGAATCGAGACTGACAATCATTCTTTTGTGCATGGACTTTTGTTGCCTGAAAGAGAAGCAGCAACGTGAAGAGGATGGTTCGTTGCGTAGAGCCTCTAAAGCACGTTCATTACATAAGTATGTATCTTGCAAAAAGTCAAATTTTGATTTTCTGGTTATGTACATGGTGGAGTAATTGAATGCTCCAAAGTTCAACAGGAATATAAAATGAGGCTCTTGACAAAATTATATTGCTAAATGGATGAGCAATACCTGAGAGGGAGGGACGATATCTCGTATTATATTTTTATTTTACTCTGTTCTATATTTTGTTACTCTTTCGAAAAATTCTCTCTTTCTATTCTATTATCCTGACACTGTTGGAACAAAGATGACGTTCTCATATCGTTGGAATATTATTTTTTAACTGCTACAGAGGTAATCAGTAAGCTGAACTACTTGCTGATTTTTTTTTTATTTTTTTTTTCAACAGAATTTGCTTAACCGTGTATCTTGCTATTGCAAAAATGAATACCAAGTAATGAAACAGTTTACATCATTACAACAATGATATAAAACAAACAGTTTTTAGCTGTTATGACAAATAGCTATATATGATATGAATTCAATCAGGAGACGACATATTTTCTACATTTTGGAGGGGATTCAGATATTCATGAGTAAAACTAAACTAAAGCAGCTGCTGGGATATACGAATCGCAACAATTTGACCATCCTTTCCAGACTTCATAGCATGGTACTTAATCTGAAGACCTGTTTCAACATTTGTGTGAATTTGACAGCTTTGCTTATGCTAAAATCACGGATAAATGCAACGTCTTATTGTGTAAAAGGAAAGTGGATGAACAGTTTTTAGAAGTTTTGCTTGAATTAAGTAAGCCATGTGTCTGAAACCAAAGAAAACGGAAACTTTTCAACAGCAAAGCTTCAGGTCACTGATGTTTATTTTCAGGGGAGATTGCAAAACAAGGATCAGTGAACCATTCCGAACCAAAAAAAAAAAAAAAAAAAGTCAGTTGAAAGCAGATATATTACCTTCATTCTCTTGCAAATTGGTGTTCACTGCAACCGCATGGAGGGTAATCATAGCTTTTGGTTGCCAGTCCTTCGGTTGTCCCACCCATGATTTAAGATTGAAGATAGCTGAAACGTAGAAAAAAATATACCAGAAAAAAAAAATATATACCAGAACTAACATAAGGGTCTTCAATTCAAGCATGTAAGCTTTCTACAGAATCTTGAAATAAGCAAATGGAGGATTGGATAACAATGAAGATACCGGAGGTCGATCTATCCTTGAGATGCTTAATGTCAAAAATTCCACCAGAAGCACCATTAGCATGCTTGCTGATATTATACGTTCCTAATACTTCATAATCCCAGCTACCATCTTGAAATCCCTCACATAGGAAGAGTTCAATATGCCTTGCATCCAAGGTTTGCATTGTTCCTGTTTTACACAAGAGTGATACCTTTAATGTAAACTCCCTATTAGGAATTATCATTTTCTGTTATTAATGTCAGGTTGACTTCAGGATACTTGAGTATGTGAAAGGCAGATGCTAAGGGTATACTTGTCGAATAAAATGAAAGTGACCCTAATTTTTTGTTTATATTTACCAGAATAATTTTGTGTTATAGTATGTCCAGATAGAATGTATGGAAACTGGAGCCCCTAAAAGTACTTCAGAAACTTAAATCTATGGCAAAGATCACCGCACTGATAGAAGGTAAAATAGTCATGTTTGAACTCACCATCACATGTATCAAGGTCGCAAACAGGACACCGTACAAGCTGCAAGTCTTCAAGGACAATCACAGTTGGATGTGTAGATAGTAAGAAAATATGAAATATATCAAGGTATTGCAAATTCTGGAAAAAGAATTGCCCATTTAAGACAACGCTAGTTAATTTACCTGCAATCCAGATTCCAGTTTTGACATTGTTTAACAGACAGCAGCCACTTTGCTGCAACATTTGATCTTTCGTATCTGCTTTGGGAATTCTGAGGGGTGCAATTAAGCTCTCAGTCAGCAGGGCAACAGATGAGTCAAACGAGAATGCTCCAATCCGCATCCAATCTGTTAAGGTCAAAATAGACGTAAAAACAGGTCTCAGATGCTTATGAGACTTAACAACTTCTCAGTTCGGTTTTTCATGTTACGCACTGTGCACATAATTTATGTTTGACATCAGTAATGCCCTCAATATCTCAACCATTAAATAAATGACAAAAATCCAGGAAAATGAAAGATAAAAGATGAGTCCACTAGAAGAAAACTATATGATTACCAATATGCTTCTCCGGCTGACGGAACAAGTAAGAGTGGCTTCCATCTGCAAAGGTTAATTGCCAACTCTTGACATGAGCAAATATAAACTATCGACTTTCACAATTGGACTAAGCACCAAGGAAGCTAAATAATACCAAAAGCTGACGCATAGAGTTTGTTCCAGTTGCATGTTGCTTTTCCAGGGTCAGGAACCTGAAGATCACGCAAACATGCATACTTCCACACGCTGTCTTCCATCACAACATGATTAAACCATTTGCAAGTCACTGCAAGCATCACTAGAGATCTACCATCCAAGAACTTGGCGATCTCTGTCCACGTATCCACTTCATACCTTTTCACATTCAGGATAAACCTCAAAGATGAATCAAATAAAATAAAATATATACAGCTGTTATCCTGTTATATATGTGGAACATTGAACTCATAATCCACAAGATTACGAGCAGACTTCTGTTTTAAACCAAGTTCAAATTCAACGCTGAAGCTTTCCACATGTCAGTTTTATCTCCTGAACTACTGAAAGTGAAGCTCAGCTCTATTTAAAGTAAATCGTGAAGGCATACATCCTAGTCAAAATATAACATCCAATATTACTGAGAGAAACAACAATATTTTCAAACAAGAAGATCTCCAGAACCTGAGGCAATCCAACATCAAATATTTCCCAAACTCCTAATGTTAAATTTACTGTTAATATGAAGAAATATATCTCGATTCTCTATTCCTAGCCAGATAAATAGCTACTGACTTTCACAAGACAGGAAAAATTTCTCCCACTGCAGATATCAAAATGAATTAACAAGTCCTGTTGTTACTCAAACCAGCCTCAGCAAAATTGACAAGTAAGAATGCAGTTCCAGAGGAAACAGAACAACGATCGAAAATCCACATAGCTAATGTTAAATTGAATTATAAACATCACGATATTCCAACGAATTCAGCTTACAAAAAGCAGAACGCGCCCTTAACTCAAACTCGAACTCAAATTTACATATCTTAATTTGCGATCATCGAGTTCAAATGCCATTACCGTCACATATAACAGAAAATACTAGAAGAACAAAATCAAAGCGACAATCCAAATCATCAGTTTCACCTCATCCGACAATAAACTGAACAACGCCAGACAGAACTCAAATCAAGCTTCATTTACCCGCGAATATGAATAAACAGGCTGCGAAATTGAAATTGAACTCATAGATCAAGTGAATACCAGCTGAAAACCGAGTGAAATTTACTGAACGATGTTCTGGGAGAGATGCAGCCGCAGATCGATCTCGGTTTCCTCAAGCGCTTCCCCATTCTTCCCGGCTTGAATTCCTTCTCTCTTCGGTGACTGCGAGCAGCTCCGGTTGAAGCTCCGATATAGACTCAGAAGTTTCGCTTTGGAAGCATTTTTTTTTGCGCAGTTTCAGTGCATGAAGTGCGTGAAGAGGTGGACGATGGAAACGTCTATCGGATTTGAAATGCGAGCCCCTTCATTTATAGTCGCGGGGAACATAGGAAATTCAAATCCAGTTAATTTGATATAAAATCCTGTCAAGTGCGGGGAAAATAGGCTAAATTGCATTTTGGTCCGATATTTATTGGATTTCGCACTAGTAGTCCTTTACAAAATTCATATCAAGTACACAGTTCTTTTATAAAGCATTCGAATTCGGGTTGTTTTTGTGGCAGCAAGGTAGAAATTAAATAGGGTCCATACGTTTCTTTTTATTTTAAAAATTATTTTACACTACTAAAGAAAATCACACCAAAAAAAAAAAAAAAAAAAAAAATTGAGACTTCAAGTCTTCAACCCTTGAGGTCTGGGAGACGAGATGGGTAGTTCAGTTGATAGCACCTTTTACTTGGAATCAATATGTCTTGAGCTCGAGTCACACAATGGGGTTAAGTGGGGAATCACTATTAATTATCTTAAAAAAAAAACTCTTGGCGCATGTGAGGAATAGAAGAAGTAAACGAGAACAATCACCATGACAGACATTGAAATATTCATATTATCTGTGGATATTCCAACTGAGCTACTGGTTAACCTTTATTGGGTACCAAATTTTTAAGCTAAGATCAAGGGGTGTCCTAGACAATGGACCATCATAGACATTAAATTTCTTGAGTGTTTTTTCTACGTAGTGAGATTGAAAAACAAGACAATTTCATCTTGAATTCTGATAATCCTTATTCTAAGAATTACATCAGTATACTCATATCTTTCATGTTGAAATTTGTTTTCAACATTCTTTTTGTATCCATGATCACATCATGGATACTCTCTATGATCAACATATCGTTTACATATAAACAAACAATTACAAGTGTATCTGATGTGTGCTTAAACACATTTGTCACATTCGTTGATTTTAAAATAATTTGACAACATCACGCCATCAAAACTTAAATTTCATGGTTTCAAAGTTTTTTTTCAGTCCGTACGAGGATTCGATCAACTTGCACGCCTTTTTTCTCGTGTCCAGGTGCTACAAAACATTCTGGCTGTTCCATGTAAATTTTTTCTTTCAGTTCACCATTCAAGAATGTCATCTGGACATCCATTTGGTGAATTTCAAGATTGTGCAAATAACCAATCGAGAGAAGCACTCTTATTAACGCTATACGCATAACTGGTGAATAGGTATCAAAGAAGTTCTACCCTTGTGTTTTGTTTAAAGCTTTGATCATTAGTATGCTTTTAACTTATCAATCGGTCCATTAGCTTTATATTTTCTCTTCAGGATCCACATGCATCTAAAGATTTACAATCCGGAATGAGATCAACCAACTCTCACGTATGATTTTGCATAATGAACCCGATTTCTCTATTTATAGATTCTTCATAGGGGTCCATTTGGGTTGGACATAATTTCTTTTATGGAACTCGGTTCATTGCCCAACATGTACGTAATAAAATCTGGTCCAAACTTTTTCGTTGTTTTTACCTTTTTACCATTTCTGTTCTTTATATTTTTCTTCAGTACCATCCGGTACAGAACTGCTAGTTGTTTCTTAGGTTCTTTCTTCAGAACTAGATTTGCCTTTTCCTTTAGAGGAAAATTATTCTCAAATATAATATAGCATTCCTCGATTCAATTATGGTACCAGCTGATACCTCTTTATTTTTTGATTTATGAATAAAAAATATATATTGAATTGTTGTGCGCATATCCAATAAAGATACAATCAACCAACATTGTTCTCATTTGTATGAGTTCAGGAATGGAAATCTTAGCGAAACACCCTCACACTTTCAAGTGTTTAAAAGACAACTTATTATTTTTTAACATTTCGTAAGGAGTCTTATTTTTCTCTTTTGGTTGTATTTTATTCAGAATATTATTTGTTGTTATAACAGTTTCCCCTCACATGTTTTAGAGTAATCCCGAATTTATCAACATGGCATGCATCATTTTTTAAGTTCAATTCTTGCGTTCAACAACACCACTCGACTGTGAAAATATGGGTCGTCGTTTGATGAATTATGTCATATTCATAACATATTTGTTCAAAAAGAGTTACATACTCCCTACCCATATCACTTTGGATTATTTTAATCCTTTTGTCGAGTTGATTTTAACTTCGATCTTAAAGTTCTTAAACGCTTCTACAAACTTGTCTTTGCTTCTTAACAAATATAATTAGCAATTTTTGTGCTATTGTTAATAAAAGTAATAACTACTTTTACCCATTCTTGTCATAATTTTTAGGTCATATACATCAGTATGGATTTAGCCCAACAGTTAAGTGCTTTTTTCCGCCGAAGGAAAAAGTAACTTAGTCATTTTGGCTTCAACATGACTTTTACATTGTTATGTAACTCTAATTAGAATTAGGAATTAATTATAAAGTCAACAACAATTTAATTACATTTAGATTACATGTCCTAATCTAATATGTCCTAAATCAAAGCACTCAACGATATGAGCAGAAGTAGCTTTCCATTATCATTTGAAATGATTACACGACTCACAACTATTACACTCATCTTGAACAATCCCTTATCGAGATTTTTTGTCCCATTTTTGTTGCATTTTTCGTGTTTGTTTTGCCTTTTTCCCCCGTTTTAGATATTTGCCTTGGTTTTTAGTTAGTTTTGCGTTTTGTTGCGTGTTTTTCTTTATTTTGGGTTTTTATGTGTTTTCGTTTGTGTTTCTTTTTTTTCTTCGAATTCTTGTCGTTCTTGATGTGCGGGTCGGGAGTTCAAACGAACTCAAAATGCAATGTCGCATAGCCCAGCCCCTAGCAGCATTAGATAGGCCTAGCGGGCAATAGAGAGTCGACCTTGGCAGACCCTAGCGGCGGGCATATTTCATTATTTTTGTTTTTTCTCTGTTTTCGAGCCCTATATATTGGGACGAACCCCCAAACCTGGAGAGGATCCTTCAATACGTTTTTCCTCAATTTTTCTCCCTTGGAAACTTGATCCGATCTTAGAGGGTGACACTCAAAAAATCGACTTATAAATAGTTTCTTAGGATTATTTCTCCATTTTTCTTTTTTCTCTCATGCTTGGATTGTTAGAAACAAAGACATTAGGATCGAAGTCTTGCAAGTCATAATCCGATTGTAAGTTTTCCATTCTATTTTATTATTGTTAATTGGATTATGTTGTTCAATCTAATTAACATGGATTGAATCCAAGAATAAGGTAATTCGTTCACTAGGGTTAGGAATTTGGATTCTTGTTTTAAATTGTGTTGAATGTGTTTTGTTCAATCTATGTGAGTTGTTTTAAAAAGGGATTTTCGATTGTCATCAATGTTGTTGAAGAGAGACACTTCTTGCAATTGTTTTTCAATTGGATATAATCATTCAGGTTTGACGATGTTAATTCCAATAGATTAGTTGATTAACCACCATCTAGTCTAAAGTAGTTAACTTTTAGAACCAAAAGGGGAGGAGTTGATTGATCTAGGCTTGTATAGAGTAGACTTGTTTGTAAAAGTATTGTCTATGTGTTGCTTGATAAAATGAGTTTCTCGTCTATGTGTGTGTGCTCTTGTTATGAAAAGTTGTTGAGAATAAAACTCTAGACGTGTAGGCTTGAATCACGTAACCGAACAAATATGCGTTTATCATAGTTTAGGACTTGATGGATTCCCCGAACCCTAGAACTTCTTCTAATTCTCTAGCAATTTAATTGTTATTTCTTTTATTTGCTTTTGTAATTGTAGTTAGTTTTAGTTAATTCTCATATTAATCGTGATTAGAGTGTTTAGTAATTATTTTTCTTTTATGTGCGATCGACATGGAATCTAGATTCCAACCGCCTTCCTCGAGAGATCGACCCGAGGTCGGGAGTCATCCCGTACTTGGTAAAAATATAATTTGCTACACTAGAGATAGTCACTACCAATAAAGGTTCTAAACTTACTAAGAACAAACTTATTAGAATCAAACACTAACCTAAATCTATGCTCTACAAAAAGAGATCTGGAGACCAAGTTCTTGTGGATGTTCGGGAAATATAGAACATCTTTAAGCTTCAACTTATTTCTAGAAGTTAGCTTCAACACCATGGTTTCAAAACAAGACACATTAGACAAGGAGGAGTTGTCCATGTGGAATTTTCGACCAGCAGAAGGAGTGTTATAAAAAACAACTCCTTGTCAAACATGATGAGGTGCACCAGTATCAATGTAGCACTACTTTAAGTCATCCATCATGTTGACTTCAAACGCCACAACCGACATATTAAAGTATGTAAGTTCACCCGACACATGGCGGTGTTCAGCATTGGGGGCGCTCGATTGCGCCCTCTTTGGCTCAACCTTCTTAGACTTCTGCTATCTTTAGCGGTATGGCTCGGCTTTCTATAGTTGTGGTAGTTTTCGGTAAACTTTAAACCTTGCTAGGTTGTTTCCCTATTAAGGGGATTCCTCTTTCCCCGAGGACTTACGGTTGTTCTCCTAAATCTGAAGATGAACTACCAGGTCTTCAAGACTCATCTCTTTCATCTTATGCTTGAGGTAGTTCTTGAAGTCATTTCAACTTGTCGAGAGCTTCTCGATCACATCCGCAACTTGGAAGAAATCACTCTGAGTCATTCCTTCAGCATGAATGTTGTGCAAGATCAGTTGAAACTCTTGCACTTGAGACACGACGGTCTTTGAGTCAACCATCTTGAAGTCAAGAAATTTGACGACGATGAATTTCTTCGTCCCTACATCCTCAATATTATAGTTCTTCTCCAAGGCAGCCCAAAATTTTTTGGCAGAACTAATCGAGTTGTACACAGTGCATATTTCAAGATTGGTTTCATTTTCAGCCACTACCGTAGTAGGGTCGTCTTTCAGGTACATCACCAA